GCTAAGTTGTGAGCAGTACTTTAAAATTTAACGTAATGCAATCTTTACCAGTTATCTCTCCAGATAAGTCATCATCAGATTATTTAAAATAAATGTTATATTTAGCCTTACTGTAATTTCCCCCCCCCAATACATATAGTATGTTCACAAGCACCGGTCTAAAGGTGGAAGCACTTTTTTTTTTCTTTCTCACAAGGTGCACTTCCTCAAGCAGCCAGCTTTAAGTTTAAATATTTGTTTGGTTATGTTCTTATCTGTCATGACGTTAACACAGTCTAGCTCCAGTCATTGAAGAGTAATGTATACCGTAGATATGATGGTGTTTTTACCACCTCCAAAAGAAAAAAATCTTTATAATCCTAAAGCTGTAAATAACTACATTGGATTCTACTTCTTTGTCTTATTAATGGGTAAACTGCCTATAGATCTTGTCAAGCCAGCAAGCTACCATATTTTATTTACAGACTAGGTCTCATAAGGTATGTCTCCTTCACATAGGTTTGTAGTGTGTGTGTGTGTGTGTGTGTGTGTGTGTGTATAAGGTAGTACTTAACCTTGTCAGCGATGGGTAGGTGTGTAGCGTCTCGACTTTTGCAGGGTGCATGGAAAGCGGGTTCCTTGAAAGTGGGTTCTTTGACAAGTTCCTTGTCAGGCCAACAAGCCACCATATTTTATTTACAGACTGGGTTTCAGGAGATATGTTTCCTGCTCATAGATTTGTAGTATGTGTATAAGGTAGTGCTTGACCTTGTCAGCGATGGATAAGTGTGTAGCAGCTCAACTTGTGGAGGTTCCACAGAAAGTGGGTTCCTTCACACCAGTGGGTTTCTTGAAAGAGGGTTCCTTCAAGCCAATGGGTTCCTTGTCAAGCCAGCAAGCCACCATATTTTATTTACAGTCTGGGTCTCAGGAGGGTTGTTTCCTGCCCATAGGTTTGTAGTGTGTGTATTAGGTAGTGCTTGACCTTGTCAGTGATGGGTAGGTGTATAGCGGCGTGACTTGTGGAGGGTCCACAGAAAGTGTATTGCTTCAAGCATGTGAAGATTGTGAAGTTACTACTGGAAACTACAGATACTTGGAGAACAATGGTCACTGACAGGTGTGGCCACTGTCATGACTGCAGTGTTAAAAAAATTTTTTTTTTTGGCAACTAAAGGCTTCAGACACTTTTTCCCACTACTTTCCCCCTGTACAGTGGATGCATGCAGCCTGCTGTGTGCCTGTTTAGAGTCATCCATTATGAGAAGTGTTATACTTTGTGTAAGATGTTCGCTCATCTTTCGATCCTGTCACAGCTCTCTGCCGTGACAGGGGAGGGGCTGGATTCCCCCCTCCCGATCTGATCCGCCAGCGCTGACTGGCTGAACGGACGGGGGAGGGGGCGGGTACAGCTGGCTCTGCCTCTTAGATAGGCAGAGCCAGCTGTCAGTCACGCAGCTGGGCGGATCCCGGCATAATTGTCGGGATACGCTTCAGTTGCGGCGTCTCCGTATACCGCGAGCTACAGCTCGCGGTATACTGAGCCTAGGGTGACGGGAGGACGCTAGTTTGTGTCCTCCCGTTACCCTAAGGAGAACTATGGGGAAAAGCCTTAACCCCATAGTTCTCCTTTTTAATGCCTTTTTCTCCTTTTTAATGCCTTTTTTATCAAGTATGTTTGTTTATTTCTAAGACTATTGCCATTTGCAGATGCTGTCATATGTGTTTTTCATAGACTTGAAATAGTGCACGTCTGCTTCTATTACTAGTAGCATTTGTGCACATGATTTGTGTCAGCAAGTTTTGTTTTTGCTAAAACTAGTACAAAAGTCCTTAGTATCAGCAAATTCTGTCTTACAAAACATATACAGGGAATTTCACAATCACATTACTCCTATAAAAAAATTAGTATGTAGCACCTAATTCACTATCACTTAAAAAAACAAACCAAATTCACATCGTTTTTATTAGCACCTGTTCTTATTTTCGTGAAAGTCAGTTTTACAGTTAAGTAACTGAATTCTGAAAAGACCACCATACACCTGGTGTTCGCACCCTTTAATCCCATTTCCACCTTTTGCCGAGGTATTTTTAGAAAAACATGCCAGCAATGTACACAGTCTACAGGAAACAGGCATTTGCAGTTGCTGTATTTGAACACAGAAACTGAGGGGGTTATTCACGTATCTTCAGCTGATCCTTTGGCTCTCTTCAGCCGTCTCTGCCCTTCGGTTCAGCTGCTGTACAGGCTATTCACAATAGCCGTACAGCAGCCAAAGACAGCCGAGCGGCTCACCAGAGCAGAAGGCATATGCTTCAGCTCAACTGAGCTGAAGTGACAGCCGAAGCATGGAGAAAGATCGGCCAAAGCCAACTGATCTCCACGGAAATTACAGCTGGGCGGAGCCAGCCGTGATCTCACGGCTTGCTTTGCCCAGTTGTAATGACAGATCAGTGTCCCCAATGACCTGGGGACGCTGATCTGTCATTAAAGAACTGGGCGGAGCCGGCCGTGATGTCATGGCCAGCTCTGCCCACTTGTTGTTCATTGGCTGGGACCTGCTAGAACTCTCTGGCAGGTGCCGGCCAATAGGAAACAGTTGGGTGGACCTAGCTGTTACTGCTAGCTCCGCCTAATTGGTTTTTCTTTTGCCAGCATCTTTGCCGGCGTTTTTTAACCAGTTGCTGTCCGCCCGTAGTAGAAAAACGGACGGACGGCACTGTCGCATTGGCGGGTTGCCGTCGCCAGACGGCATTTTTTTTCTGCTCGCGCGCGCCCCCTAGCGGGCACGCACGGGCAGAAAAGACCCGTCCAATGCGAACACCCGGTACCGGGTGTTTCACATATAGGCGATCAGCGGGTCCATAGCCCGCCGATCGCCTATATGTGCTCGTTTGCGGCCGCCTGACCCCTCACCTTGAATCCCGGGATCCGCTGCCCCATCTGCGGCCCGGGATCGGCTCGGAGGGCGTCAGGAGTAGGAGGACGGGAGATCAGCTCCTTGCTGATCCCCGTCCGGGCTGTGAATGCAGAAGTGATGTGTATTACATCACTTCCGCATTCACCTGTCAGTCATCTGGCTGCTATAGCCAGAGAGAAGAAGCTGATAAAGCAGATCTCTGCTTCATCAGCTTCTTTTGGGGTTTTAATTTTTTAAAATTATTTTAATTTTATTTTCATTTTTTAAATTTTCCTTTTAAACTTTACATTTTTATATTTTAAAACAATTTTTCAACTTAAAAAATAGATTTATTTTACTTATTTTCTATGAGAATAGGGGCGAACGGCAGTGAGTGAGCTGCCGGAGCTTCGACAGATCCAGATGTTGGATCGGCTGAGTCGAATTCCTTCTGCTTTTCGGCTCAGCCGAACATGCAGAGCATCTTCGGCTGACCGAAGGCAGCTGATGTACGGCTGAAATCAACTGTACAGGCCAGAAGTGAATAGCCGAACAGCATTTGGCTCACTTCACTTCGGCTGGGTTATTTTTGTCCTTTTCATCTTCATGGCTACTTTACAATCTAACCCAGTGTCAGGCTGAAATTCTGGTGGAGAAAATTTTCAGTTTGTAGGACTCGGGCCTGCTTTAAAAGTACAATAAAAAAAAAAGGAAAGTCAGCAATCAGAGTCATGAAAATGTGCCATTTTTCTGTACCCCTGCTGCTATGTTTTCGTGCATAGTTGAGTCACTTTGCCTTGTTTCCACTAGGGATGCAGCGATACCGGTATTTTTTTTTCCCGGTACTCGCCGATACTGAATACAGGGTACCGGAAGTCCCGTTAGGGCTAGGCATAGGAGCATTTGGGCGAGAAAGAGTACTCACCCAAATACTCTGCACCGATACAGATACTAGTATAGGTATCGGTGCATCCCTAGTTTCCACGGCAGAGGCATGGCTTTTTGGCCGCAAGGCTGCAGAAAATTGGCAGTAGTGCTCTGGACTGATGATTACAATTTTTTATATTTGGCTGGAGGCAGTTTTGTTCGATTGAAGGGCTGGAGAGCGGTACAATAATGAGCGTCTGCAGCAACAGCGAAGCATGGTGGAGGTTCCTTGAAGGTCTGGGGCTACATTTCTGCCAATGGAGTTGGAAATTTGGTCAGGATCAATGGTGTCCTCAATGCTGAAATATACAAGCAGATACTTATCCATCATGCCATACCATCAGGGAGGTGTGTGATTGGCCCCAAATTTATTCTGCAGCAGGACAATGACCCTAAACATACAGACAATGTCCTAAAGAACTATCTTCTGCTTAAAGAAGAACAAGGAGTCCTGGAAGTGATAGTTTGGCCCCCACAGAGCCCTGATCTTAACATCATTGAGTTCATCTGGGATTACATGAAGAGGCGGAAGGATTTGAGGCAGCCCACATCAACAGAAGATTTGTGGTTAGTTCTCCCAAGATGTTGGAACAACCTACCTGCCGAGTTCCTGTGTGCAAGTGTACCCAGAATAATTGATGCTGTTTTGAAGGCAAAGGGTGGTCACACCAAATTTTTATTTGGATTTCTCTTTTGTTCATCTACTTTCCATTTTGTTCATTGATAAAAAATATACTATTAACACTTTTATTTCTGAAAGCATTCTTACTTTACAGCATTTTTTCACACCTGCCTAAAACTTTTGCACAGTACTATACATCATCACTGCACCTCTACATTACCACAATAAATGTTAATCACTTTCGAATGAAATGGACTTTAAGCTGGCCATACACTGATGATGAATTTTGTCCTGTTGACTATATTGCATATTATATTTCAAAATATATTTACCCTTTGCACATCAAAGAGTAAAGCCACTAACATTTATGGTTAGAATTCTATGTTGTAGAATTGTTCTATGTAAAGCCAAAGAGTAAAGCCACTAACATTTATGGTTAGAATTCTATGTTGTAGTCCTAATTGTAGTTTTTTTTAATAGTAGTGCTATATAAACATATGTTTCTACAGTTTTAATTGGTTTTGTTTTGCTGAATTTTTTTTTTTTTTTTCCCCTTCCAATTTTAGATTTTGCAATATGGAAAACACTCTCCGATATATTTTGTTGGTCACTTGCAGCTTATGTGCTATACACAGCAGCTTCATGGATAGTTCATGGTCAACAAAGTAAGCAAGATAAGATAACATGTAATTTATTTAAACAATTGAATCTTTGAGTTTTTCTGTTTACAAGCAGCATATGGTTGAAGAATATACATGAATCTATATATAGATTTTATGCAGGGGATCTTTTTTATTCATCAGTGATCCAAAGTAGGATAGGATTTTGGGGACAGGGAGGGTAAGAATTGTCTGAGCCTAGTGCAGTTATCCTATAACATATATAGAAATTGTGTATTCTGGATATCAGATTAATGAATTGCACATAGACATGTTCTACTTTAAGGGAAAATATAGTGTACTTTTAGTAAGCGCACATTTTAATTATATTTTGCAGTGTTTACCTTTTTAAATTAGTTTTTAAAGCGACTTTCACATTATGTGCTTGTGTTGCAATTTTCTTTTCTATTATAAGTAGTAATTTTCGGACTGGCCATTGGAGGCACAGTATAATAGCTACTGCTATCACTCTGCTTAACAGCTGTTGAGGTAAAATATCAGTTCTGAGAAAGTGCATCATTTTCAGTTAGTTGGCCGAATTATAAAAAAACTAATGGAAAAATAGAGATTATAAGTTTCCTTTAAAGAAGAATTTGGGCAGAATAATACTTAACCCTTGAAGTGGGGCTACCCCACACTGTTCAGTGCTCATTTTTGTCTAAGGTGTAAAATAACAAAAGTATACTTACCCAAACCTTGGTCCCACCTGGCTGCTAGACTGGTCCCCACAGCCAATCTCTAAGGTACATTTCCTAAGTTTAGAATGTTTTCAAATAGGCCAGATACATAGGAATGTATTTATAAATGTTTTAAACAAGATTCACACAACAGTCACCCTGGATTCACGCAATTTTTCTTGTATCCACTAGAAAATATGTGACTCTTGGGTGAAAACATTCATAAATGATTGATTAAAACTGCTTCTTAAATATCAATGAGACATTGTCACCTTCCTATTCAGGGCAAATTGGCAGTGTCCATGCAGAGGGACCCCATCTTTTCCTCTATTTATGCACTAAAATTCACATGGTTGGCTAGTTTTGGGTCCAAGGGAGAGCTTTGATGTAACTTTTTCTGTCATGTGACAGTGCTCAGGGCCATGAAATTGGCTTCTAGACCCAAGCACTGTCACTTGAGAGAAGGACACATGCTTCCCCATCCCTAGAAGCATCAGGTACTTTTTCAGACTAAAACAATGGATGGAGCATCAGGGGAGCACTGGCAAGGTAAGTATCAGTGGATTGGGTGGGAGGCAGTGCTCAGACACTGCCAGAGTTTTATTTCCATGAGCTTATAAACTATATTGCATGCTAAAGCATTTTTTACATTTTAAATAAAGCAATAATTTTTTAGAAAACATCCAGAATGGAAAAAACTTATTCTGACTCATCATTGGCCAGTTACAGTATGCAAGGTAAGATGTCTTATTTAGCAACCTACAAAAGTGACTCTACTTTGCCTAAACATTCACAACACTGGTTTTAACTTGTTTTGTCTTAAGTTTCTTTTGTACTTAACCCCTTCGTGACAGGAGACGTACACTGTACATCCTGCCACAAAGTGCCTAAATGACTGGCCACCTACACTGTACGTGACCAGTTATTTGCGGCTCTGTAATGCTGGTAACCGCTGATTCTCAATACTGAGGCATTCATTAATGAAATAGTTAAGATTTTGTAAAAGCTTCTTTCTTTCATTAATGAAAGAATGAAGCCATTACATACAAATATCGGATCACTAAATAGCGAACCGGTAATTGACAGCTGAAGAGTCACCTCTCTGCTATTCGTTTTGACAGCTCCATAGACTGGCCCATGTCTATGAAGCTGTGCGATACATTTCAGAAATTAAAGTTAATTTATCAAGCAGTCATAGTGACTGCTTGATATAAATTGAAAAAAAAATTAGGAAAAAAATTATATATAAATATATAATACTATAATATACTATACTATATAGTATACTATAATTATTAAAAAATTCTAAAAAATAATAATCAAATCTTGTGAAAAATGTTTTCTTTACGTTTTTTCCTCCATTTTTAAAAATATTTTATTCAAACTAAGTGAGGTGTTAGGTACACATGTTTGATATAATTATTTATAGCCATATCTGCCTTCTAAAAAACAATATATAATATGTGTGGGTACATTTAGTAAGAAAGTATATTATTGCCATAGAAGAATCGCACAGCAAAAATTTAAAAAGTGTGTCAGTCATTTACAAACAAACTGAAAACAAGCTGTCATGAAGGGGTTAAAGCAGGTTCTGCAGTGTCCCATTCATTTGATCAGGGACTCTAGTTTTTTTTTTTTAGCAAATAGTCTTTATTAGAGTTTTGTCAATAAGAAAAACAATAAGACACTTCGGTCTGCCCCCCATAGGGTACAGATGGCAACTTGTAAAAAACATCATGAGGCAATACATAATATAGTATAGTGTGATATCACCAAAGGTACCAAAGTACAGCATTACCACTATAAACAAACATATTTATAAAAGATACGTACATGTGGTATAACATGGTTTCGACTCAAGACAACCTAGTGAGCAAGCAAGCATCGCAATCACCTGGTACCATCTCAGATTCACCTGAGCATGTTGGGGTCCTGATGGGACTATAAGGGGCCAGAGGGAATTTAGATTGAACTAGAAGTAGAGGTATACTAAGCTAAGACGGACAGATAATTAAAGACTCTCTAGTTTATACAACAAAGTGTGTGGATAGAGAAAACAAAGTACATTCATAAATATTGAGAGTAATGCAACACTTCTTCTTTTTTTTTTCTTTTTTTAAATTAATCAAAGGATATGTTGAATTTCTGCTCAAAATATGTTTCATTTTATTTTAAACCTGAACTCCATTCAAAAAGCTAAATATACTGATGACATACATATAAGGGGGCTGACATTGGACTTTGTATGACCGCCGATCCAGTGCTGATATATAAACAGCTTTGCCACACAGGACAGGATACCTAATTCTTCTCATTTGCAGTTCAATAACAGTTACAGGTCTCCTCTGAAGCCTTTAGACTTGATAATGAAAGAAGAAGCTGCAGATTTATGACCTCTTTCACCCTGCTCTAACCTATCAGCGTGCCCCCATGCACTGTAGCACTGATTTGCTCCATGTGCTGCCTCTTCCTCTATGTTGCCTGCATTAAAATATATTTAAGGATGTGTTATTAAGTAGAGTTAATTTGTGTCTTTTTTTTATCTACATGGAGTTAGGCTTTAAGAAGCAAAACTTTAGTTTTAGGTGAATATACATTTTTTTTTATAGTGTTCTTTATTGGATAAGACTTTCACAGTTTTAGTCGCTTGGTGGTCTTTGTTTTTATTAGGGCTCTTCAAATTGACACAGGCACTTGTTGATTTGCTGTTTACTTAATACTAACATGCAAGTCACCTAGAGATTCTTGTCAGTCTGAATCAACTGATATTATTTGACTGATTTATATTTAAGAGCATTTCAAACCTTTTTTTTTCTCTCAACAAAAAATCATTACTTGATGTTTGATTATCGACAGACACTCTGAACAAGTCTCTCTTCATTATCTGTTGCTTTTTCCATTTTGTTTCAGATGGCTGAACAAAAATGCCAGGAGATTCCAAACTACTGGACATTACACGGACTGTGGTAACATTAGAATTTATGTTATCCATTACATATTTTAGGGCCCGTTCACACTAGTTGCAGTGCGTTCGGACCCGATTCTGGCCAGAACGCACTGCCTCGCATTGCGGCCGGCTCACTTTTTAGTGGGGCAGGAGGGGGCTTGGCGGACCATTGAAGTGAATAGCACCGCAGCCACGCCCTCCGGCCGCAATGCGATCGCCCGCACGGGATCGCAAGGCACATTGTGCGGTCCAGTGCGGTGCAATCAAAATGCTGCATGCAGCCACGCCCTCCGGCCGCAATGTGTTCGCCCGCATGGGATCGCAAGGCACATTATGCCTGCGGTCCGGTGCCATCAAAATGGTGCTTGCAGCATTTAATCGCACCGGACTGCAGGAGATACCAAGTATACTCGTACTCGCCCAAATGCTCTGATACTTATCTTAGATACCGTAACTTCCGCTCAGAGGGAGATCTCGCTCTGACCGGCACAGCCAAGGGAGCATGGAGGCGGCTTCCTTTTCAATCGGGAAGCCGGGCGACATGTAGTGAGCTGCCTCCTGGCTTCCTGATTGGTCAGGAATCCAGGCTACCTAGTAACAAGTGAAGCCGGCTTCCTAGCCAATCAGGAAGCCGGGAGGCGGATCATGACGTGGTGCCCAGCTTCCTGATTGGCTAGGAAGCCGTCCTCACGTGTTCCTAAGCATCCCGGCTTTCTGATTGATCAGGCAGCCTCTGAAGCCAGTGTTCTTTCGCTAGACCTGCCGCCTGACTTCCTGATAATCGGGGCACAATGCATCGGTACTCAGTATTGGCAAGTACCAAAAAAAAAATATCGGTACTCGATAGCGAAAAAACAGTATCGGTGCATCTCTACTTTTATTATTCTAATTTTTTACCCTACCAATACATATGTAAATAGTTTTTTGTTTGTTTTTGTTGCATACCCAAATTCCCCCAAAATTATTTTAAAAAATAATAAGTTTAATTTGTGATTAACTTTGTAATTAACTCAAAACTTTGTACCAGAAATTAACACTGGTCAAGAGAAACTTTTTTTTGTCACATCTTTGTCTTTTAGATTGCATAGAAAATTATTTTTTATTGCCCAAGAAAGACTTGACCGTCCTGAAAAAAACCCCCCTTAAAACATATGCCACATGTATTACTTCAATAGTGGCAAAGTGATTGCTAAATCAAAAGGCCCATAGTAAAAACATTTAACAATTGCTCTGGTCTATAAGCGGTGTGGTAACATAAGGAGTTAATCTTTAATACATTTTAACAAAACAACATATTTTGGAGTATTAGCTTTTGTATGCCTTTTATAATTACATGGTTATGTTAAAATGGACTGTTCAGTTTTTGTAGAATTTATGTAGCCTTTGTATTTTTCCACTTTATTTTTTAGGACTGACAGGTCACAAATGTGCAATAATTCCTGGCATTTTGATTACGATGAAATAAAGGTAAATTGTTAGAGCTCTCACTGTTAAACATTCTAGAAGTGGTATGCTGTAAAACTGTTATCTGGAATAAGCATGTTTATCATACAATTAATACAATAAGATTCCGCGCTAGGGATCTGATAATCTATAACACTGATATGCTGCTATGAACGAAATTAATAGAGTGAATATACAACACACATAGCGCTAAATATCAAAACAATAATGACCGAATCAATAGTGCAACATCATATGTGCAAAAACACCAATTACAATGGCCTGAATTTAAATAATCTCAATTATCATAAATAATACTAACATAAATATATAATGTGATCAGACCCCAAAAGGGGAACGAAAATAGGTGAACCAAGTAGGTCAGGGGCGCCCACAATTTTTCGTCTGGAGAGCTACTTTTCAAATGACGAGCTCAATGAGATCTACCAACGAAAAAACACCTGCGTTCAGGGGTGGGAGAGGGCGTGGAGGTGCATTGAAGTCAATGGCACCGCAGCCACGCCCCTCGCCCGCAGTGCAATCGCCCGCACCCGGAAAGTGCCTGCGTTCCGGTCCAGTGCGATCTGCAAAAATGCTGCAAGTATTCCAGTGCGTTCTAGAGGCGTCCTGTCCTCCTGTGGTGCTCATGTGGCTGTATGTGACGTCTGCATCCTTTTGAGAAAGTTTTTTGATGACGAAACGCGTCAAGGGTGGGTCCTACTGATGCTGTTCCTGTGAGCCACGGGTAGTTCGTGGAGGAGACTATTCTATTGCCGGCCGGATTAAGAGATTCTGATGTGAGTTTTCTATATTTTTTATTTAATAAAATGTTTTTACTGCACAATGAGCGATTCCTTCATTTTTTTTTTTTAAATGTTGCGGGAATGCTGCCATTTGCCATCGAGAATTTGTGATTTTACTATTGCTGCTTGGAAGATCGTGGGTGATTGCTTCAAATCAAACCTGGGAGCTCTGATTGTTTACTGATCTAGTCAAAAATTTCTGGTAAGTGTTTGACTATGGGGGCTGGTGGATAAAGAGCATGAACATCTTGCACGGAGTGAATTTTCATTTTGACACTTATGTTTCACGTTTGGGACTTTTTAAACTTCACGTACTTGGTTCACCTATTTTTTTCCCCTTTTGGGGTCTTATCACGTTATAAACTGAGTGGCCAGATTATTATGACTACCTGACGTTTGTAGGCAAATTAGTAATAATTTTGCGCTGAAGTTGCTAGAGGGCCAGACCATTATAAATAGGGAAGCAGGTTGTTTACCACGAAGGTAGAAGTGATTTTTTTCTGAAGATATGGGTAAACAACGCGATTTAACAGCCTTTGAACGTGGGATGATTGTTGGTCCTCGGAGCCATGGAGCGAGTATCAGCAAAACAGCAGAGTTCGATAAAAATAAAAGGTTAAGGGGAAACGTTCTCCACAACATACACATTATACCTGCTTATACAAATACTATATGCACTGCTTGTATGTGTAAATGCCATCCATTCTTTGTTCAAACATTTAGTAACATACATTCTTAAAGGATGCCATGGCATTAATAAGCACTATAAGACATCTTGTTTTAATTCCAATTCTAACTAAATTCACAAATGTGGGGTTTTGCATACCTCTCTAATATTCTAGACTGCTGAGCTTGCCAATAACATACCAGACAGTTTGAGTAAAATATAACTAAATAAAACATTTTTTCGGACATTGAATGACGTTTACAAAAAACAATCTCATTTCTACCACTCATTTTGCCTTGTTTATGACAAAGAGCAATGGGCAAAATACACCAAAAAAAAAAAAAAATGCCAATCACAATTCACTGAGGTCTGTAAACTGTATCTAGTTGCAAAGGGATACTAATGGATACTGCACTTTATACTTGGTTTTTACACTGCTTAACTGGATTAGTTGTATAAAATGAACATGCATCATGTATTTGAATTTCTATTGGAGAGTAATTTTATATCAATAAGAACTAAGTTTTTAAGTGTTTTTATGCAGGACATGTTGGCGGATATGAACAAGTGGTGGCCTGATGTCCTCCATCCAAACGGTTCTCAACTCTGGTAAAAAAAACGATCGATGTAATTAAGGAATGGTTGATCTATGCGTTTATAAGAATTTTGTTTGTAAGCGATGACTTGGATCATCATTCTTGAAAATCCAGGAAACCTCTTCAGTCACACAGAAGTATTTGTGTTCTGCAAATCTGACATACCTGTGTTTGTGTGTCTCTGTTTTGCCACATTAAATTATATTATATTTCATGTAAAAAAATGTAATTCAAAGGCCACCTGTTGAAGGAGAAACCCAGATAGCCATTGCTGTAAAACAGTTACCTGGATGTTATGTTCTTGATTAATTGACCAAGAACAAGCATGCAGATTAGGAGGTCTGACTTCCGTCTATGTTTGTTGCCAGCTTGTTCCAGTTCAGTTGCTCAGAATGTGTTGAGGTCACAATCAGCATTACAGCATTACAGATCAGCAAATAGCATATTTATAAGAAGGACAGCAACAGCATGTTTGTCTTTTTGTTTACAGTGCTTTAGTAAGTCGTGCTAGTTATGATTTTTCTTTTTTTTCCGGTTTAGGAAGCATGAATGGCAAAAACATGGAACCTGTGCAGCAACCCTACCATGTCTAAACACTCAGCACAAATACTTTAGCAAAGGACTTGCATTGTATGCAAGTGTTAATCTTAACAGGTACTAGAAATAATTTTGTTTTGTGAAGACATTATACTTAAATGTAGTGACCTTTGCTATAGAGTTTGTAAATTTTTTGTGTACAGTTTCACTTCATTTGAAAATTTCTGCATTTGCACTCTGGGTTTCTGAGGGAATGGCAGCACTGGAGGGATCTGGGCCAAAAATGTTCATACAGAAATTGAAAAACTTCTTGAAACAAGCTAAACTAAGGCCTGTGGTGATTGCCATTGCTGACCTCACCTTATATAAAGACTAGTTTCCTGTGTCTCATACTGATAGCTTCATACTAGAGTCATTGATCCAGTGCCCATTTGCCCTTTTCTGACTTTCTTTACTCTAAGTAAGCACCTCTAGTATCAGGGAATAGCATCTTCCATCTGAGACACATACACATGTAATATGAGGTATATCTTCAATAAGAACTCAAATCGGATACTTAAAAATAGTTGGACTAGGATAATATTTAATTGAATAGACAAGAACTCTGGATTATAATGAAATTCTCACTCAAATGATCAAAGTGTCAGGCCTGACAGTTGGTCAGTAACTGTAGTCTCTTTGGCAGAGGTTTTTTTAATCCACAATTTCTGTATTCCAATGATTGGTTAACAGACCAATGATGGTCCTTGAAAAGGTGAACAGGGAGAGCGAGCAATATGGCACTGAGAATTACATCCAATCCCTCATGTTGAATGTTACTGAAGCCCCAGAATAATACCGAATTTATATTTGTTACATGTTATAACAAATTAGCCGTTCGCATTACTTAAAGAAGAACTCCAGGGAAAAATATGTTAGCCCTTGCATTGGGGCCGCCTCACAATGCACGGGTTAACTGTTTGTTTTTGTCTAACTTTTTTTTTAACCTAGACAAAAAAGAGCAGTTAACCCTTGCAGTGTGGCATAACTCTGCACCCTGTACTGTGCTGACATATTTAATTATCACTTGTAAACCAGGGCTGTCTGTCCTAATAAAGGTTTGAGGATCTCAATGCATTGTATGTTATTTTTTTTTTAAAACTGTCCTTCAGTCTGTCCCTCAGTCTGCCATCTGTTCAAACTACTAGTAGCTGTCTGTAGTGTCCTATGTAATAACCATGCTCCAAACAAAGAGGTAAAAAAGACAAATTATTTTTATATATGCTGTATGAATGGGAACACATAACAAACATAATGTGGTTGTTTCTCAAATTTGACTGCACAGTGGCACTGGCCAGCTGGAAGCACTTTTATAGCTCCGTACGACGTACGTCCTTGGCAGCGAAAGGGTTAAGTTTACCTAATATAAAGAAATTTACCAGGGCCAATATGAATATAGCAAAAAATGAAAAACATACATAAATATCTCTACTAACTAAACACACATGTTGCTTTGCAATAGATTTATTTTGCTAGAATTTCATTGGAAAAAATGCAGATAAACCAGGAGAATAAATAGTATTACATATGGTCTGTCACATAGAATAAAGTTGTCTGACATACAATAGAAAGGGAGCAGTAACAGATTGCAGTTCACAGATGGAGCAAAATTGAGGGCTTGTTCACACCAAATCCGGACCAGATCTGCATGAGTTTCTGCAAATGCAGTGCAGTGTGTTTTGTTGCGTTTTTGACGCATTCCGGGCCGTTTTTTTAAAAAGGGCTTTCAGTGCGTTCCAGGGCGTTTGCATACATTTTTGTGCGTTTTGGTGCGTTCCAGAGCAGAAAAAAATAGGGCATCCTGCAGTTTTTCCACATGCTCTGGAACTGAACGCTGTGGTGTGAACTAGAGCCCAAAATACCATTTGAATTTGGATTTTTTTAAAGCGTTCTGTAACTGCTCTGCTCTGCACTTGGTGGGAACAAGCCCCAACTGGGGAATAGAATGATCCAGTACTCAGATGTTATAATCAAAATAGAATGGTTTGGGAAATCATAGGTTGGAGAAAAACCTTGGAACCCTTATGCCCTTACAGAATCGTAGGAGAGTAGAATTAGGTGAGAATACAGTATATGAAATGAAGTGCAGAATGGGGGGTAAGGCAGTCTAGGGTTATGTGATAGGTAAGGGAAGCAAGGGAAGTTTGGTTCAGGGGTAGTTATCTGGGAACACTAGGGGAGGGCACCCATCTCTTGCAATGTTATGATATCATAAAACCTTGTCCATAGCAGTGTAGCCCAAGGACATGACCACGAAATGTATACCATGTTCCCCTTGTCTGGGTATCCTCTGAAGCACATAAAGGGATATGTCAGCAGGCAGGAGTACAGTATCCAAAATATCCATTTTGCTTCTGATAATAAATTTAAGGTTTTTTTTGTAGGCTGGTAGATGTAGTCTTTTTCTTGACATACCATGTTTCTGGGATTGAATGTATAAACTACATTGTGGAGTTTAAACCTAAAGTGATTTACATATTTTCTTTTCCAGTGCCCTTGAAAAGTTTGGAATTAAACCTGCAAACACATACAAGGTAAAGAGCTGTAAAAAGTATTTTTAGTTTTCCTGTCTGTCTTTGCAAATTATAGATTTAAAAATGCTCCAGTAAAGAAAGTATGTTTTGCTAAGTAGCTCTAAATGCCACAAAGAGGGATACCTTTTCAATCTTCAAGGAAGAAATGTATTTGACATGATTGCTGAAACACAAAAATATTCAAAGTTGCTGTTGCTAATGTTTATTTTTCAGTGGCTGCACACAGGATGTTTTTGACCTCATTTTTGGTAAAGTGGAGCCTTCCTCCATAAGCGAGAAAAACCTGACCGAAAACCATTGATTCTCCAGGATATAGCAAAAGAAAATTTAGCTAAAGTCCCCAAGGTATTAGCTGTGTAGAAACAGGAAGACATTTGGTACTGATAAAAAGATTATTAGTTGGCAAGCTGTAATGTACTGAGCAAAAGTAGTGAATGTATAGAAATATATGGTCAACAACTTTAAAAGAAGCAAGTGAGAAGGGAAGAGACACTATCTGGCACTCTTTGTTCTGTCTGGCACACTAGGTTCTGTCTGGTGCTCTTCATTCTGTCTGGCACATTGCGTTTTGTCTTGCGTTCTGTCTGGTGCTCTGCATTCTGTCTGGTGCTCTGCATTCTGTCTGGTGCTCTGCGTTCTGTCTGACGCTCTGTCTCGCTCTCTGTCTTTTGTCTCGCTCTCTTCTCTCTGTCTGGCATTCTCCACTCTGTCTGGCGCCCTACGTTTTGTCACAGAGTTGTGAAGAAATTGCTGTTGAACGCATTTTGTGTTTTTAGTTTCCATTGATTTTGTTTCCTTTTGGAATGTCACTCAATCTCACTTCTTGGCACTCCACAGGTTGTGATGGACAGCCACACACCCTTGGGGGTGTTCCTGGAGGAAGGCTCTTCACAACATGTGAAGAAGCTATTTGACATGCTTTCCCTGGTCTGGTACAAGGAATGTTGGGAAATGTAGTTTGAGATTTCACTTATCTGTAGTGTTGGCAAACAGCAGCTCCAGAACACGCAGTAAGGGAAACAAGCGGCTATTTTAAATCAAGGAACGTGGAGAAGCAGAAAATAAGTCACTGATAGAGGTTAGTGCTGCAATCATCTTAGAAATCATGGATGTTTGCAATGCACATTTTGTGTACATTGTAAACATGTTTTTTAGAACTCCAAAAACAAGGTGGAATTCAAAACAGCTAGGTCAACAGTAGGAAGTAAGGAGATATACAATATGCAGAGAAAAAAAGGAGAGTTGAAGAAGGAATAAAAAAACAAACTTCTGCATAGCGGAAAAAGAAGTAAAGGATGTCTTTCAAATGTATATTTTTTACTTTTTTTTAAATTTTGAATGGCAAGAATAAACAGCTGATAGAAGGTGATAGACAAATCAAGCAGTGCTAGAAAAAGTATTTCAGACTCCTTCAGAATGAAGAGGGAAGATTGGGGGATTGCAGAAAGTATGGGCTAAAAGATGGATGAAAGAGTACAGGAAGGCATTTATCCACAGACATTGCAAGACTTGGAATTAGTAAAGAATAACGAAGAACCTTAACCAAAGGACTAATATTAGAACGTGAGAAAAGGGGCGGGGGCTGTGGCAGCAGAATACCCAATCCCGTAAATAATAATAATTATTATTATTCTACAGAGACATTGCATTGTTAATAACAGCTTATAAAGTATGGACAAAAAACATCTCCTTCCCTACACGAAAACATATTGTTGAGTACCAGTATATTACTTTAAGAGTATTCACTTCCTGCTTTGAACGGGCAAAATTGATGTCAGTGTGCCAAAGCGATGCACACTGTGATTGCCTCGTCGCTGAAATTAGATCTCGTTCCATGTGTCTTTTAACGTGTCAGGTATGTACTTTTTTAATTATAGCATTGGATGCTATATGAAAATATGAATAGAATTATTTTTTCTTTCTCATCCATTGAGGGACACAGAAAGTGTTCGAGTTATACTTCCGCCTACTGGAGGATTGGACAAAAAATGTAGGCCAGCCCAGGATAGGAACAAATACAGTACTGTGCAAAAGTTTTAGGCAGGTGTGAAAAAATGCTGTTAAGTAAGAATGCTTTCAGAAATAAAAGAGTTAGTTTATTTTTTATCAATTAACAAAATGGAAAGAAATTGAACAGTAGAGAAATCCAAATAAAATCAATATTTTGTGTGACCACCTTTTGCCTTCAAAACAGCATCATTTCTACTAGGTACACTTGCACACCGTTTTTGAAGGAACTCGGCAGCTTATTGCAGACATCTTGGAGAACTAACCACAGATCTTCTGTGGATGTCGGCTTCCTCAAATCCTTCTGTCTATGGGGGCCAAACCATAACTTCCCGGACTCCTTGTTCTTCTTTACGCTGGAGATAGTTCTTTATGACATTGGCTGTATGTTTGGGGTCATTGTCCTGCTGCAGAATAAATTTGGGGCCAATCACACGCCTCCCTGATGGTATGGCATGATAGATAAGTATCTGCTTGTGTTTCTCAGCTTTTAGAACACCATCGATCCTGACAATCTCCAACTCCATTTGCAGAAATGCAGCCCCAGTCTTGCAAGGAACCTCCACCATGCTTCACTGTTGCTGCAGACACTCATTGTACCTCTCTCCAGCCCTTCACCAAATAAACTGCCTCCTGGTACATCCAAATATTTAACATTTTGACTCATTAGTCCAGAGCACCTGCTGCCATTTTTCTGAACCCCAGATTCTACAACCCCAATTCCCAAAAAGTTGCGATGCTGTATAAAACCTCCTACACAGCTGTTTCTGTTTCAGTTAATGACATTGATGATCATTAGAACCTGCTTGGTATAGTTGGTTAATCATACACCTGACTCTAATCCTACAAAATCCCTGACTTTGTGTAAGTTACAGCTGGCCATACACCTATAGATTTTCTATGGTCAGATGGAAAAAGTGCAAAGGATTCCTCTATCTATGCTAAACTGTGTGGATGGAGAAATCTCCCGCTGGGCCAAGCTTCTGTCTTTTGTTAGTCGGTTCCACTGGCTGTCAAAATACCTGAACAATCTAATTGGATGCAGGCCTTGTTCAGCTGTTTTGACAGACAACAACAACTAGCAGACAACTAGCAAGATACTGAAGCTTGGCCCAGTGGGAGATTCCTCCATCCACACAGTTTACCGTAGATGGAGGAATCTGTTGCACTTTTTACATCTGACCACAGAAAATCTTCAGAAAATCTATAGGTGTATGGCCAGCTTTAGAATTGATGCTGGTTGAAGCCTAAGGGTAATCACACCAAATATTTATTTCATTTGGATTTTTCTTCTGTTCGCTCACTTTGCTTTGCAGCATTTTTCACCACAGTACTCTACCTACAAATGAGTATGCTGTGTTCACCTCTGAAGAAGTATCAGATATTGAATATGATGCAAGATGTAGCAATACAAAGTAAAATATTTTTTGCATATGCTAGGGAGGATTGACGGTAATGTCAGTTGCTGCAGTTATTACAGGTCAGCTGCTGCAGTTTCCTCTCCTGTATCCCTGCTGTCCAAACAGTTGTGTATATTGCAACGTTTATATACTATATTCAGAGAAGACCAGTGTGGGGAAAATAAGTCCTCTGAAAGACCCTGAGAACACCCTGTACAGAGCCTTTTGCATGCGTGGCTGGTAAGGTGATGGATCAGCTGATTCATGGGTCATTGGACAAAGTTGTGCATGTGGGTGACCCCTCCTACCATCAGCATACCTCAGTTTTTTTGCTAGTGTCCTAGGAAGATGGACATCTTTTCTTCAGCTCTGCTGGGAATAGACTAACCTAATTTAGCTAGCACCATTTTTTTCTTCAACAATTTTTTCTTAAAACAAAACTCTTATTTACAGCATCTGGACATTTCAGTGCTCCTCTCTTGCTCTTTGAAGACTCGCTCTTTAATTAGGCTGATGAGACTGAACACAGGGAGCTACCTCATTTGTTTGGATCAGTGGACACTATTAAAATGCCTGCTTTCCATCATTTCCTACCACGGAAGTGTTTACCGCTGATGGACTGAACACTGATGTCGTCATTTGAGTGGAATGTCATGCATGCGCACTCTGCTCTCTTTTTTGCGACCTTCAGGGTCAACTACAGGGTTAGCTAAGCATCTCCCCACTGCAGTTCCTGCATTGCAAGAGTCGTGTGGAATTCCGATCTTTGTTCCATACCTGCTGCATGCCTACAGTGACTGATCACCCTTGACCATCTGACTCTCCCCTGCAGCTGTACAGGTGAAACTCGAATAATTAGAATATCGTGCAAAGTTCATTTATTTCACTAATGCAACTTAAAAGGTGAAACTAATATATGACATAGACTCATTACATGCAAAGCAAGATAATTCAAGCCGTGATTTGTCATAATTGTGATGATTATGGCTTACAGCTCATGAAAACCCCAAGAACCCCAAATCCACAATCTCAAAAAATGAGAATATTACATGCAATCAATAAAACAAGGATTGTACATAGAACAATATCGGACCTCTGAAAAGTACAAGCATGCATATGTACTCAGTACTTGGTTTGGGCCCCTTTTGCAGCACTTACTGCAATTACTTTTGC